TTTAATCTTGTACTGGTTGAGTTTGGCATAAAGCTGACCATTTCCCCTTTCGAAGGCGTTGATGCGCGCTGCATGCGCTGAGGCGCCGGCTGTTGCAGTCCAGGAACTAGAAGCTGCTGCATAGTTCGAGGCTTGCCGCTGTTGAAGATCCTCAATTTTCTGGTCGAGCTTTTCTTTGAGCTTGTTAGTCGATGAAAAATCGATGTCCTTAGCCTTCGCATCCGGCAATTAATTGACATATATTTGCAAAATTCATGAGCATTTTACCTGTGTGCAAGCGAACTTCCAAAGAATTCGTGTAGTTGCCTCTAAATAAGATAAAACACTCACGATATGTGAGTACGACTCAGCCAGCCCAGCTTTGCATCCCAAGCAATGGGCTGACAAAATAGTCCCATCGTTTTCGGAAATTACCCAAATGTTCACTAAAGGATCATTCATACGCTGTGAATGCCGAACACTTGCTCTCACGGCATACTTCCCGGCGATTACTTTGCTTACAACTAAGGTTACAAATCCCGACAGCATTTGATTAAACTCCTCAAGACTCTTGAACGCCTTGAACTGCTTGTTGGTGTAGAAGCTGGTCTCAAGAACGAGGTAACTCAGCAAGTCCGAGACTTCCACAGGAAGCAAGCACTCTGGCCTGAACTGCTTGGCTGTTATGCTTGCAGGGTCAACCCCGATGACCGAGACCTTTTGCGAATATCTTTCCTTAACTCGTCTTTCTAAGCTTTTGGCATACTCACAGAGCACTGGGATACCTTTAGGTGAATGTCCGGTACTTCCATCGTTTTTTTCTTTCTGGATATTCACGTAGTTGGCGAAATAATAGAGCGATAATAGAGAAGCTTCACTGTAGAAATTGACTATTATTAGCATACATTTGACACCCTAGGGACACCAACATGGCGGACACTGATTTGAGCAGAGCTTGTGACGTCACGTGAAACCCAAGAATAGTCTTATTTCAAGAGGTACTGGAGTACTATCTAGAATTATTATCACTTTGTCGGGCATTGTGGCGCATTTTGTGGGCTAAAATGGAGAATTTGGGGGGGCTAACTTGAAAATGTACTTTAGCCCGCTGAAATAAACCAAAGAAAAGTGAGAATCAAAAAATCGTACGATGTATGCAGGCAATCAAAATCGAGAAGCTCTTACAACTTTTGGAAACTCAAATGGCAAGATTTTGTAATTTCTAGCCAGCTTCGCTTGATGTATCGTTTATTTTCATTGAGGGGCGCGTAATTGTTCGGACTGTTTCGTCGTCATTTTTTTCAGTTTTTATTTTCTCGATGCCCTCCAAAGTGATAATAATAGTAATAGAGTTTATGTTCTTGAGCATAAATATATTTTGGGCTTATTTTAATCCTCGCCTGGCGACTCAGGCTAAAATGACTCTATGTCGCGCCCAAAACATATTTAAGCGCGCGAACGTAAACTCTATTGTCTTACTAGATATTATGTTAACAAAAATATATGCTGCAATAGACCTTTTTAGCTTGGGCGGTTTGTTTTCCCATTGTAGACCACGTGATATTCTCCAGAGAATTTTTCTTTTATCTTTCTGAAAATTATTTATTCATGCACATGCGACTATTTAAAAATTTGAAAGCAAGAATTCTCAAGAGTATCATCACGTGGTCTACAATGGGCAAGCAAACCGCCCGAGCTAAAGAGGTCTACTATATTATTCACTTATTTATCTCCTCTTGATCTATGGCTGATCAGTTTGGGGCAATACTAATAGTTCTGCCCTTAGGCCTTTAATAATTTTAGTAAACACGGTAGCTGCGTTCATTACCTGTAGTTTGTTTGCTACTTACATAAGAGTAGTGTACATCCCCGGAAGAAGCTTCTGGAAGTTTTTGCACGAAATAGCCCTGAAATTTAACAGGTTATGTCATTTAAGCTGTACAGCTGGCCATACCTAGCCGTCACCAAACGTCGCCCCAGGAACTCCAGAGAAGATCATCATTCCGACTTTCAACGACCGATGACCCGAGATTGAGTGTTTACTGAAAAGCATTAAAATCTTAGACCATGTACGATAACACTGATAGCCTTATTAAATTCAATTTTTTGTGGCTTCCCCGACAGCACTTATTACTTTTGAGAACTGTCTACGGAGCATAATTGCGATCTAGTAGGTATGTTTAGTGACGATGGTAAAAATCAGGTAAAAAAGGCCACACTGAAAAAATACGCTCCTGGTTAGAAAAATAATAATTTGATTATATAATTAATTTACAATTAATTCACTTTTGTTATCTTTGTACTTACAAGGTTATATTGGGTCCCATTTCGTCAGATATCTTTACCGGCAGTAACTGCCGAGGATTGTCAAATAGTGTCCTGAAAACAAAACATAATTAATGTAGCTAGCTATAGCGTAACAAAATTACTGAATACACAACTTATATTGTATAAATATTATATAAACAAAATTGTACACTTCGATGAGCTGTCGTAAGGACAAAGCAACAATCCTTAAAATGGTATCGGTTTCATTATTCCCGGTAATATCGATTTGTTCCTAGATATTGCTTGTTTTTATTGGTATCGTCTTTCAACTACATTTGTAGAAGGCGCAGATACTTCATAACTCGTAAGTACCCAAAATGGAACAAAATTTTAATTTGAGGCTAGAAAATATATCGATTCACTCGAAATGTCAGTTCCGTCATACTTGAGAAATGACTCAACATTTCCAAAAAGGTTAATAATAAAATAAATTCCAGAGCAAAATTGGACTACTCTTTTTTCAGACCGAATGCGTTGTGTTTCGGATCTGGTGAAACTCCCGTCTTATATTTGGGAAGATAACTGATACCCGATTACAAAGAGAGGTCTTTTTGTATCCCCAACTGAATTCCTAACAAGAAGGGCAATTGTATAGTATATCGATATATCGATATATTAAGTAATTGCTCTCATGCTGCCAGTTCATTAAGAAGACTTACAATGTTTCAAGTCTACTGAGGCCACGAAAGGCGTTATCATCAATACCTTTGATTCGGTTTCCATGAAGGAACCTAAAAACGAAAAAAATCAAACCAAGAAAACAGCTAGGAAAGATTGGGACATGCAGGTAGCTGGAAATGGCTCTTTTGTAACATTTCATCTATTTCTGAGACAGAGGTAACCTTTAGTGTCAAGATTACTCCCAAGATAACTCATTGTGAAAACTACAATCACCGACAGCGGTCCATTTTGGGACTATTCCAGTCCAGACCATCACGCCAGACATTTTTGGGAAATATTTTAGCTAGCTGATATATCTATCATCTCTAAGGGTCAGTTTAGACGATATGTACAACGTGAGTGTGATAAGTGAATAAAGATGGTAAATTTTAAGCTCGGTAATGAAATGTGAAAAGTGAACTGATCAACATGACACGAGTGTGGGACAGAAAAAATCTGAGTCCTCGACAAGAATCGAACTCATGGCCTCCCGAACACCGGGCGGGCGCTCTGTCCACTAAGCTACGAGAACGCATGGAGAGCAAGGTGATTTAACTGATTTTATACGTCACAGGCGTCTTGCATACTGCTAGGATCAGCATCTTTATTCACTTATCACACTCACGATGACTTCGACAGTACTGATCCTAGCAGTATGCACGACGTCTGTCACATGAACTCAGTTAAATGACGTTGCTCTCCATAAGGGTTCGATTCCTGTTGGGGACTCAGATTGTTTCTTTGTCCCACGCTCGTGTCATGTTGATCAGTTCATGTTTCACGGTATGTAAAACGTTTTCACGTTGCAAAAAAAAAACTTGCAAAAAACATACAGCACAAACTGTTTACTGTAAATCAAGCCAAGAACTTGCTGGTGCCTTTGGTATATACGTATGACACAAAAATGTCAAAACATTTTAAAACGTGTTTTAAGATCCTACGACAATTGTAGGCACAAACATGGCCAGTGATGAAAATTGTATGGGATTTTCGCATGACGTGTTGGGAAAAAGCAACGCGGGCAAGGTGTATCGTCTAAATCGAGCCAAAGAAGACCAAGGAATTCTTATTGTAGACGCCTAATAATCCCAACTTCGGCGCAGTTTAAAAGACCGTCAAGAAATAATTTCACAATAACTGTCCAATTTCTCACGCGCTGTTTGGCTCATTTTCATCATCAAAAAGAGTACAGACGGATAAATTTTTAATTTATGCAAGCTTTCAAGTTCAACTTTCAGCTCTCAAACTGTCAACTTTTTAACCGATGAGATTGTATGGACTTTTTTAAGTAGCCAATCAAAATGCGAGAAAAGCTATTGTCAATGTTTGCGTCATATTGAATAAAGGTCACTTATTTTTGTTCACGACAAGTTTACGGCGTCTTTTCCCCTCTTTTATTCTCGGCATTTGACCATTTTGGGGTCTTGTTATTGTAAAAAACAAATTGATGTCAGTTTTTCTGCGTCTGTCCTCTTATTGATGATAAATTTCGTCATAACATTGTCAAAGTTTACTGCGAAACCACTCGCCTGCGGCTTGTGGTTCCACAGCCACTTTGACAATGTTATGACGCAATTTATCATCAATAAGAGGACAGACGCATAAAAAACTGACGTCAGTTTGTTAATTCGAAACGAAAATTAAAGGGGTGTAAATGTAACTGCTCCTTCCTCCTATTTGCATAATTTTGCTCATCAAACGTTGCATGTCTGTTTCAACTTTAGAATGAATCGTGATATTGTCTGCATCTTGCCTAAGATTACTTACAGCATTTCTAACTTTGGGCAACCAGCAAAAGTGTTTCCAGGGATGATAGACAGGTTGTTGTTCATTATCATCCTACATGACAAGCAAAAACGCAGAAATAAAAAACAGAAAACATTTAGCCTTTGTACTACAGTGTTTGTAGCATACATTCCCGTGGTATGGTACACATACAATCACAGAGACAGACATACAGGAAGACAGAAAGACAGAGAGACAATGAAAGAGAGACAGAGGGTCAGAAAAACAGGAAGACAGACAGACAGACATCGACTATATTTTGGTGCCAAGGTGAGTGATCAATTCATTTTATCACTTGGCTTGAAGAATCGAAACGATAAAAGAATTCACAAAAATTGCAAAGTAACTAAAAAGTTTTCTTCGTTATTAAGTACCAGTTGACAAAATCAACAGTCACTTACAGTATCCGTAGATTCTTGAGCCCAGCAAAGGTGCGATTGTTGATTTGGGAGATTAAATTAAAGCTGAGCATCCTTAAGAAAAAGAAAACATTGCATTACTTTTCCTCAACTGTCCTGCAACCTAAATTGGACTGGCTCTTTAACTTCAATGCCTGTATCATACATTCTACAACAAAATTAAACTTTCCATATATGTTACCGTCAAGTTCTAGTCTAATCAATCTCCCTGGAATTCATAACAAACAAACCACAAAATCAAAATTCATTTTACTTACAACTGTGTTAAATTCTTGCACGCAGAAAACGCGTTATCTGGTATGGAAGTTAGCTTATTCTTAGACAAATCCCTGAAAAAAATTAAGATGAGGCTTAAACAAGGCTTAAACAAGAGTAATATTACACAAGAGAAATTGAACTCTTTGTAGATTAAAATATTTGTTGCAGTTTACATGGAAATCGATAATGCATGGAAAGCACTCAACGATTATGAAGGTGGACTAAACAAAGTCTGGCATGGTTCAGAATAGACGTTTCCCGCATTCCACTTCAGTGAGTACGAACAATAGCACCAAAGAGATGTTCGGGTGGACATTTTCATACGTTTCCTGTGTTTTTGTCCACCCTGACCTCGACTCGGTGCCACTGTTTGCTGGAATGTGGGAAAGGTCTATTTGTTAGAACTTAGAATAAAATTACAGTTAGTTTTACAACACTTTTTTGTTTTCAGACTTTCTGTTTTTAGTTTAAAGCTATGATGTCTATGATTAATCGTTCTGAATGATTGACATTGTCTTGTAAATTGTTCTCACATTCATTCGCAAGGCAATTGGCAGATGTCAAATATTTATAGTGTAATTTTCAGGAAGCGTGCGCTTCTAGGCTTATTTTTCTATCACACGGCCAAGTCTTGAAACTGCCTTCCTCTTGAATCTGCAGCTCTCTAGGTTATAAAAAGGCTTTCATGAAGGTACCTACATTAATTAGGACTTTAAATTACAAGTTTGCTGTTAATTTTAATTTCGAAAATCCTTTGGAAAGAGCTAGATTAAATATACCATATTGTACATTGTGTTCTGTTTTTTTTTTTTTTTTTTT